CAGCATCCGCAGCATCCGCAGCATCCGCAGCATCGCCACCCACCTGCATCCATCATTGTCTGTCGTCCACTTTGTCGGCTTGCTGCAGAAGAAGCAAGCTGTGCCCGTTACAACGTCCTCGATCCTAGCGCCTCGATTGGTCGGCACCCGCTCGGCCCGGCAACTATTCAGCTCGACAGTCACCTCGCCTCTGCACCTACGCCCAAGCATTGCTGCAAGGATGGCGTCTAGCCAAGCGTCTACGTCGCTCTCTGGCGCAGCCGCGTCGGTATCCTCGTCGTCCACGCCTGCTGGACGGTCGCGCGTGCCGAGCATGCCTCGCCTTCTGTACGGGACAGCGTGGAAGGGCGACTTTACGTCGGACCTCGTGATTCTCGCACTCAGCCACGGATTTCGCGGAATCGACACGGCGGCGCAACGCAAGCACTACCGCGAAGACCACGTGGGTGCCGCACTCGATACGGCGCAGACGGATCTGCAGCTCGATCGACGCGATGTGTGGGTGCAGACCAAATTCACCCCGCGTTCGGGGCAGGACTGGACGCAGCCGAGCACCATTCCGTTTGGTCACGATGAACCGGTGGCTGTGCAGGTTCGCAAGAGCTTTGCTGCATCCTTGAGGAATCTGCATCCGTGGCTGGACTTCGAGCCATTCGAGGAGGTTGCCCGCAAGATCACGGCCAACTCGGAGCGCGGGGTGGAACTGGATGCTGGGGTGGAGTATGGCGATAAGCACGGCGAGGCATATGTGGATAGCTATGTGCTGCATTCCCCACTCACCACGCTTGACCGCACGCTCAACGTGTGGGCAGCCATGGAAAGTTTCGTTCAGCTCGGACTGGTCCGCCAGATTGGCGTGTCGAACGTGTACGATGCCGAGATCTTCCAAGCGCTGTCACGAACGACGCGCATTGCACCGAGCATCGTGCAGAATCGATGGCACTACACTACCGGCCACGACGTCGCACTGCTTTCCATCCTCTCCCCCGCCTTGGCGCCGAACGAATGTGGGGAACCGGTAGTGTATCAGCCATTCTGGTCGATCACGGGCAACCCTAACCTGCTCGCATCGCCGGCAGTGCAAGAGTCGGCCGAGTTGCTCGGTTGGACACCGCAGCAGGTTGTGTATGCCTTCCTGGCGCGCGGGATGGACATTCCCCGCCTCACCATCACCGTCCTCTCGGGAACCAAGGACGAACAACACATGCACGAGGCCGTCCACGCCGTCAACAACGCTGATGACCCAAGGTGGACTCAGTCGCACGTGGATGCCATTCGAAAGTTCGTCTATGGAGAGTAGCTTCCCCGCGCCCACCAATGTACTTTTAGACCCGCACTCGCTCGCTGTAATCTCATCCCGACTAGGTTCCCCTTTCGACGTCCGCTCACCACACAGCACCGCTTGCCATTCGTTGGGCTCAGACTTGCCATTAACTTATACGCGAGTGAGGCGCGCTCCTCCATTCCCGCTCATCACTGCCGCGCAACACCAACGCCTTCACACCTTGAGCGCACCCGTGATGGCGATTCAGACAATGGCGAGCAAACACGACGCCGTCACCCTTTCACCACGTGAGTTCGTGCTTCAGACACGCGCGGGTATCAACGAATGCCATTGACAGTCGACAGCGCGCGAATCACTCATCTTCCTCCTCCTCCTCGATGATCTGTACAGGCTTGTGGAAGGCATTGATCCTGCTTGTGCCGCCTGCACCCGTTGCTGGAGGCCCTGCTGGCAGCCCTGCTGGAGGCGATTCCTTCCCCTTGGCCGCGTCGTTGCCATCATCCGCTCCTCCCCCTGCCGCAGGCTTCGACTCGTGAATCGTAGCCGACAGCAGTTTCGGTGCAAACTCGTTGCCTAAGCTCAGCGACACGGGGTGATTGCTGCGGAATCCCGACCCCGTCGCCGTGGGTGGTTGGAACATGTTGCGAATGCCCGCATAGCGCGATCCGAACGGCGCCATGCCCGCCGCAGTCCCTTGCGAGGGATACACGCCGCCACTGCCAAGCGCAGCCATATTCCGCGTAGCGTACGGCGAACTCGACGCCGCACTCGCCGTGCGATTGGCCGCCATGGAGGTGGTGGATCCCATCTGACCCAGCCCGCCAGAGTACGACGGCTCCTCGTCCTCGTCCGTCCAGTCGTCGTCGTCGCGGTGCGCAAACACGTCGCGCAGCTTGGGCGCCCCTTCTTCGCGTCGGCCTTTAGTGCCACTTGCGCCCTCGGCGGGCGGTGGATCCACAGGTCCAGCCCAGCACGGAGGCGGACGTCCCCACGAATGGCGCCACGTGCCCGTCCCCGTCGCCGGCAAACGCGCCGAGCTGCTCGACGCCGCCGCAGCCCCGTCCGACGCGCCAGAACCCGCGAGCTTGCTCGTTCCCTGCGCGCCAGGTCCAGCACGAGCCAGACTCGCGCTCAGACTCGCCGTCGCCGACGGCGGGCGGTAGGGCGACCTGGACTTGTGCGCCACAAAGATGCTCTGCGCCACCACCTGGTGATGCTGCGCATGGCCGGGGACGTCCGACACACTGCGCTGGTCGAGCGAGTGTCGGGGCGTGCTGCGCGTCGACCTCCTCGCGCCCGCTGCGCCCGCGTCGCCATCCGCATCCTCGACGCTAAACTCGCTCAGCCCCATGGCGCGCCCGGGCGACGAAGCACGCGACTTGATCGACGACGGCCTCGAGTCGTGCCGGAACGAGTTGCGCCGACTCGGACTGCCCGTCGACGACGCGTACGTGCGGTGGCGCCGCACCGTCGTGCCGCCATCGTGTGCGGGTCGCGCGTGCCGCCTACCGCTCCCCGCTGAAAAGCCGCTGCCCGCCTGGCCGCTTCGGTACGCCGAGCTGGTGCTGCCCGTGGAGCCGGCCTTGCCATGCAGCCCCGAGCGCGGCGCGGCACTCGAGTGCGCGAGCGAGTGCGAGCTCGACGGCCGGCTGTGGCGCGAAGACGTTGGCACACCTGCCTCGTTCATGTAATCGCCATACAGCGTCCCCGTGGGCGTGATGCTGCCCGCGCTCAGCCGACGCATGTTGCCTGGCCGGTTCATGCTGGTGGCAAAGCTGTTGGGCGGAAGTTCGAGGTGCCCGTGGACAGAGCTTCCGGTGGACGATCGGCGGCTCATCGAGCCCAAGTGCGGGCTTCTCGGCCCGCCACGCCGCGACGCCGAAGCTTGAGCATAGTGCGCGGATCGGCGCCGCATACTCGGCGTCCTGCTGGGCGTGCCTCCTCCTCCAAACGTCGATGTGCTCCCCGACGTGGTCATGGTTCCCGTCGGCGACCTCGCCGCACCCACGCCATCGTCGATGCCAAGTCCGCGATACGCAGCCGCCTTCTTGCCCTGTTTGCCCTTCCTCACGGGTTTCTCGTTGGCGCCTCCAAGCCAAGTTCGCACGGTTGCCATGAACGACGAACCCGGCTTTCCGCGCGTGCCGCTCTTCTCGCTGCCCTGCGGTGTGGCCGACATGGTGCTGAACGAGTCCTGAGACGCCGAGGGCACCGCGCCGCCCTTCTTGTCAGAACTCGGCGCTGTGGCTGGGTGTGCCGTCGAGAGCGAGCGCGACGATGGCGAGCCGGATGCCGAGTCTTCGCTGCGGTCGAGCGCCTTGACACGCTCGAGGTCGGTCTCGATGCTCCTCTTGCCTGAGCTTCTGCGCGGCTTGTCGGGCGTCTCTGCATGCGCCTTTTTGGGCGTCGATGGATTGGAGAGTCTGCCGACCATGGAATCCTTGACGTTGGACACGGTGTTGCGACGGCCAAACAGCGTGGGGCTCTTTGCGCGCTCCATGGGCAGCGCTTCGCCGGCCACGATGACCTGGTCGGGCGTGGGTGGCGGCGGGGTGGCGGATCCCTTGTCCTTGGTGCCCAAGACACTCTGTGCAAACTGCTTGACCGAAAGGGAGTTGCTGCGAGGGCGGTCGGTCTGTCCGCTGCGCCGCGCTTTTGTGCCCTCGGAAGATGGGCTCCCGGCGCCGACGAGGCTGGTGGTAACCTGTTGCAGCTTCGAGGGACTTGTAGTGGCGGTGGTGTGGCGATGCTGCGACTTTGGGCGAGAGGAGGAGCTTGACTCTGGAGTGCTCGCCAAGCTGCGATCCTGAAGCGTATTGACAGCCGGCGAAGTGGGCAACGATCGCAGTACATCCGAAGGCGAAGGATGCATCGAGAGAGACGCCGCGCCTATCAAGGCCTCGGAGGCGGAAGACTGCAGAGGCGGTGCAGCAGCACAATCGAGCTCCTCATGCGAGACCACAGTCTGGAGGCGCCGATTGCTGGGTTCGGCAAGGCCCGAGTTCTCCGATCTCGACGCGGTCAAAGATGCTCGGCCCTTGTCCATGGCGCGAGACCGATCTTCGGAGCTTCGAGCCGGGTCCTTGACTGGCACGGGTGGGCGGTGCATGTCAACGGCGATAGGCTCCAGACCGAGACCCTTTGCATTCGAAGTATCGGCAGCAGGGGAAGAAAGTGGCTGTTCGACCGGGGTATAAGCGTGGTTGGAGACCGAGGGGCTGGAGGGGAGCATGTCGATTGTGCGGTCCTTTGCCTTGCGGAGAAGCATCCACCACATGGCGCCGCTGGCATCGCAGGCGTCGTTGACGACGCTGTGAACCATCTGACCCACATCCATGCCGAGCGAGCTGAGCTGATGGAGGAGGTTCTGCTCTACTGCGGACGAGAAGGTGGCTGGCTGCAGGTTGGAGAGCTGCGAGACATAGTCGACGGGTTTGCGGCCGAGCAAAGGTGGATGATGGTCGGAGAGGCCGCCTGACGAGAGCGAGCGGCGTTTGGTCCTTGATGGAGTCCGATGATGGCCGCGTGACGAGCTTTGGGAGCCCCTCTTGGCAAGAGGGACCGACTGATACAGGGGCACGTATGCGTCGCCCGTGTCGGCGTCGAGCTCTGCCGGCGAGGTGGAGGGCAGCTCGTGATGGGTTGGGAGAGACGAGGTGGTGGAGCGAATGGCGGCGGGTCTTGCGA